ACAGCTAGGGGACCCAGGAAAGGTTTATGTCCCAAGGGCAACATGATTCACTGGGCTAAAGATTAGAGGACATCCTGTTTGAGGGTGGAGGGAATGACAGGAACAGAAACTGAGGCTCTTCCAACCAGCTCCTCCTTGTCTCAGGATGCTTCATTCCCAGTATGTTATACAGTTACACAGAGGTGTGGGGCAGAGCAGGGAACTGGCTTGATTCAAAGCCACCTGGAGCACTGCCCTGTACATATGCTTATTGTTTGAATGTGTATCTGTTAGCATCCTGTTTGTTTGTTTGTTTTCCTTTAACCTCTCTCTGTATATTTGAAGTAGATTTCTTGTAGATAGCATTTACTTGTTTTTTGTTTTTTTGTTATGTATGTAGGAGTCAAAACCATTAGTGGTATTGACAGGACCACGGACAGCACTATTTGGCCATATATATATATATATATATATATATATCTTTTCCCTTGTCTGCCGTGGATGTTGGAATAAAGTTGCCAGATTGGTGGTGATCCATCTCATGATCCTGTCATTTAACTCACTTGTGTTGTGATCTACCGTGTGTAATAAGAGACTTTAAATCCATGTACATCTCTTTTGTGGAGCTGGACAGTCAAAGAAGTACGAGCCATTCCTAGCACATAATGTCAAAACATAAGCCCTGCATTATGCTTAGGTTTAGAAACTAAAACTTCACAGAAAGGAGATAACAAATCATATTCACATCTCAAAACCCAAAAGCTTGAAACATTTCATTTGTAGAAAAAAGGAATAAGAGGCCAGGTGTGGTGGGTTATGCGTGTAATCCCAGCATTCTGGGAGGCTGAGATAGGCGGATTGCTTGAATCCAGGAGTTTGAGACCATCCTGGACAACATAGTGAAACTCTGTCTCTACTAAAAATACAAAACAATTAGTGGAGTGTGGTGGCACAGGCCTGTAGTCCCAGCTACTCAGGAGGCTGAGGTGGGAGATTCACCTGAGCCTGAGAGGTGGAGGCTGCAGTGAGCCAAGATCATGTTGTTGCATTCCAGCTTGGGCAACCAGAGTGAGACTGTCTCCCCCGCCGCCAAAAGGAAAAAAAAGAAATAAGGCCAGGCACCATGGCTTATGCCTGTAATCCCAGCACTTTGGGAGGCCAAGACAGGAGGATCCCTTGAGCCCAGGAGTTTGAGAGCAGCCGGGGCAATATAGTGAGACCCTGTCTGTTCATAAAAAAATAAAATTATCCAGGCATGGTGGTACAATTTTGGCAATTTTATTGTATAAATATCATAGGGTATACTTACACAAACCTGTATGGTATAGCCTACTGCACACCAGGAGAATATGGTACAGCCTGTTATTCCTAGGCTACAAATCTGTACAGCATGTTACTGTACTGAATACTGTAGTGTTCATCTGTAACACAATGGTATTTGTACATCTAAACATATCTAAAACCTAGAAAAGTACAATGTAAAAGATAAAAAATAAGGTACGCCTGTATAGAGCACTTATGAGTGGTGCTTGAAGGACTGGAATTTGTTCTGGGTGAGTAGGGTAGTGAGTGATGAGTGCATATGAAGGGGGCCTAGAACATTATGTACTTTTATATGACTGGCAGCTCAGTAGGCTTGTTTATACCAGCATCACCCTAAACACATGAGTAATGTATTGCACTTACAATATTATCAATATTACCGCAGCTTTCACTAGGTGATAGGAATTTTTCAGCTCCATTTTATTTATTTTTTATTTATTATCATTATTATTTTTTGAGATGGAGTCTCACTCTGTTGCCCAGGCTGGAGTGCAGTGGTGCGATCTCGGCTCACTGCAACCTCTGCCTCCTGGGTTCAAGTGATTCTCCTGCCTCAGCCTCCCGAGTAGCTGGGACTACAGGCACCTTCCACTACGCCTGGCTAATTTTTGTATTTTTAGTAGAGACAGGGTTTCCCCATGTTGACCAGGCTGGTCTTGAACTCCTGACCTCAAGTAATCCACCCACCTCAGCTTCCCAAATTGCTGGGATTACAGGTGTGAGCCACCACACCCGGCCTTCAGCTTCATTATAATTTTATGATACCACTGACATATATGTGATCCATTGTTGGCTAAAAAAACATTATGCAGTGGCCAAGCGAGGTGGCTCACGCCTGTAATCCCAGTACTTTGGGAGGCTGAGATGGATGGATCACGAGGTCAGAAGATCAAGATCATCCTGACTAACATGGTGAAGCCCCATCTCTACTAAAAATACAAAAAATTAGCCAGGCATGGTAGCGGGTGCCTGTAGTCCCAGCTACTTGGGAGGCTGAGGCAAGAGAATCGCTTGAACCAGGTAGGCAGAGGCTGCAGTGAGCCAAGATCGCACCACTGCACTCCAGCCTGGATGACAGAGCGAGACTCTGTCTCAAAAACAAAAAACAAAAAACAAAAAACAAAACAGCAACAACAACAACAAAAAACCCGTCATGTCATGCACCTCATGATTGTATTTACTGTGTAATATGTAGTGCTTTGTTTTTCTATTACTGGAAAAAAGATACACCTGGGGCTTGGGAATGACGTTCTGGTAGAGATGTAAATTTGGGATTTACTAACATTTGGTTTCAATTGTTCCTTATTAGGCAGAGGTATATCCATGACTCAGAATTTATTTGTAGCCTTAGAGATCATACTTTGAGGGAGTCAGTGTAGATGAGATTGTGCTGGTCCTCATTTACCTGATTCAGAAAGAGCCAGCTATTGTCATCTGATTTTAGCTGGACAGTACAGGGATTACTGCCGAGGTTTACCAGGTACCAACCTAGGCTAGACCGGTTCTGTGCATTTACTCATATAAAATCCTTATAACAATCCTGCCTCAGAGTTGTTCTAATGGAAGTGGAATATTGAGCACAATAACTAGAACACAGCAAGTTCTCAATAGGATAACTATCATCATGATTATCATTTATTACTGTTTTACAGAAGACGAAACAGAGGCTCAAAAAGATTGATTAGGAGGAGTTACAGAGCAATCGAGCCTGGGCACAGTGGATCACGAGGTCAGGAGTTCGAGACCACCCTGACCAACATCATGAAACCCCGTCTCTACTAAAAATACAAAAATAAGCCGGGCGTGGTGATGCATGCCTGTAATCCCAGCTACTCAGGAGGCTGAGGCAGGAGAATCGCTTGAACCAGAGAGGCAGAGGTTGCAGTGAGCCAAGATCGCACCATTGTACTCCAGCCTGGGTGACAGAATGAGACTCCGTCTCAAAAAAAAAAAAAAAAAAAAAGGAGTTACAGAGCAATCAATGAAGAGGGCTGATCTAGGTCTTGTACAGTTTTAAAGTCTATGCTCTATCTCCATTTTAATACTTACCATGTAGAGTGTGCACATGACATGTCATTAGTGGTTGTGTGACCACAGGCCAGTCATAGCACCCAGTTTCCTCATCTGTAAAATGGGGGTAACACTTAATGTTTTATGTAGAATGTCTAGAGTTCTTAGCTGTGTGAAGCTGGAGGCATAATGAAAATTAGGTTTACTCCATCTTTCTTTTCTCTGAAATGCATTGTGACATCTTTCCAGATTTTAAGTATTAATTCTTTACTAGTACTGTGTGGTTACATAGATCTTCCAGCTTGAGGCTTGTCTTCTCATTTTGTTCATGGTAATATTTTCACTAGCTGTAGATCTGTAACAAAGAACTGTAACAAAGGTGGATATATTAATCTTTCCCTTATAGCTCTTGCTTTTTGTATCTTGCTTAAAAATTTATTCCAATAAATTTGTACTCCAAGGTCACAAAGATATTCTCTTACATTTTCTTGTGAAAGTCTTATAGTTGTTAATCTACTCAAAATATATATATATTTTTGGATCAAAGTAGGGATCTAATTTCATTCCCCACCCCCAATAATTGTTCCAGCAACATGGAAAGTTCATCCCTTTCCCCACTGATTTCTAGTGAACATCTGATATATATAAAGTGTACATTTATGTAAGCCTTACAAAATATCACACCATTTTAATTGTTATAGCTTTATATATAGTAGGTATTATTAGTTGGGAGGCATGTCCCCTCAGCTTGTCAGAATTCTATGGAAATTTCCTTTGGGATTGTTACTAGAGCTGCATTGAATCTATAGATATGGTTGTGGGAGTATTGGTATCTTTACCATCATGAACATGCTTTCTTCATGATTTAGATATTTTAAAATGTTTTTAAATATAGCTTAATATTTTCCTGCACAATAACCTTCACAATCTTTTAAAATTTATTTCTAAGTACTTAATGCATTTTTGTTGCTATTATAAAAAAATTTTTTTAAATTAAATTTTTGTTTGTTATTTGTTTATACAAATGAAATTGGCCTTTGGATTACTTTGTGTTTGTTCTTATGCATTTCATTAAAAAATCTATCTGGGAACCTTACTGCAGTCTTCCATAGTATAAATTATATGGCATCAAGTTTATATTACAGTTTTAACTCGTTTGTTATTATTTATTGTTTTACCAAGCACTACGAAAGACTATTATTTTTTGTTCAAAGGAATACTGTTTGCATTTGTTAAAAGGAAATGGTGTTTCACAATCTCTGTGGAGATTTTAAACAAAAGGAGCATGTCTCTGTTCTACTTCCAGAAATCCTCATTTTGTAGCTCTAGAGAAAACCTGAGCTCCTTGTTCTTTTGAAAATCTCCCATATGGTTCTGTACATTTCTGTTGGAAAACCACTGCTAGAGAAGTTGCTAAACAGTAAAAGCATTTAGCCCATGGTGATGTGGGGGAAGGGAGGCATTTCATTTAAAATTATGAAGAATTTATGCATCGTGTAGTATTTCATGTGTGATGTATAGATAAAATCAGTATATTTACACAGACAATTGTTTTTAAGTGACAACAGGTATGAATTTAAAAAGAATGGACATTGAAAAAGAACCAAGTCACAGTTTGAATGGGGTGTGTTGGTTAAGTACTCAGTATATTTGTATTAAAACTTAGAATATAATTTTGTTTTTCCCAGTTGGAGTCATTCGATGCCCAGTTTGCAGCCAAGAATGTGCAGAGAGACACATCATAGATAACTTTTTTGTGAAGGACACTACTGAGGTTCCCAGCAGTACAGTAGAAAAGTCAAATCAGGTAAGTGTATTACGTCTTAAACCTTTTGCCAGCTCTTTTTTTTTTTTTTTTTTTTTTTTTGAGACGGAGTCTCAACTCTGTCGCCCAGGCTGGAGTGCAGTTGGCGCAATCTCGGCTCACTGCAAGCTCCGCCCCCCGGGTTCATGCCATTCTTCTGCCTCAGCCTCCCAAGTAGCTGGAACTACAGGCGCCCACCACCTCTCCTGGCTAATTTTTTGTGTTTTTAGTAGAGATGGGGTTTCACTGTTTTAGCCAGGATGGTCTCGATCTCCTGACCTCGTGATTCTCCTGCCTTGGCCTTCCAAAGTGCTGGGATTACAGGTGTGAGTCACCACGCCCAGCCTCTTTTTCTTTTTTTTTTTTTTTTAAATTGAGATGGAGTCTTGCACTGTTCCCCAGGCTGGAGGACAGTGGTAGATCTTGGCTCATTTCTACCTCCTCCTCCTGGGTTCGAGTGCTTCTCTCATCTCAGCCTCATGAGTAGCTGGGATTACAGGCGTGCACCACCATGCCCGGCAAATTTTTGTATTTTTAGTAGACATGGCATTTCACTATGTTGGCCATAGTGGTCTCGAACTCCTGACCTCGAGTAATCCACTCACCTCGGCCTCTCAAAGTGTTGGGTTTATAGGTGTAAGCTACCATGCCTAGCCTCTTTTGCCAACTATTGATGAGGCAACCTAAAATGCTGGAGGTCTTTAAAAGGAGCCAAACATTAGATAATTGATCTATAAAATTATATAACATTTTAAAAGGAATATAAAGAATAATAAATAATTCACCTTAAGAAATTAAACAGTGAAACAGGGACAATCCAGAAACTCTTGATTGCATACCCACATTCCAATCTCCTCCAGAGAAACCATTATTCTATATTTGACATTATTTCATTTCTTTGTACTTTTACTGTGTATTGACAATGAGATTTTTATTTCAAGCTCAGTTTTTCACTTTTTTTCTATTTTAATGATAAGCTCTATAATGATACATATGAAAGACTCCATGTCTTTGATCTGTAAAGTTTTTACATTTTTAAGAAAGCCATCTTTTCTATATGGTGTTACTTTGAAAGCTTCATTTATTTTTTGGGGAAGGGGTGGTGGTGGTGGTGGTGGTGGTGTTTTTTGGGGAAGGGGTGGTGGTGGTGGTGGTGGTGTTTTTTGGGGAAGGGGTGGTGGTGGTGGCGGTGGCGGTGGTGGTGGTGATGTTTTTTGGGGAAGGGGTGGTGGTGGTGGTAGTGGTGGCGGTGGCGGTAGTGGTGGTGGTAGTAGTAGTAGTAGTAGTAGTAGTAGTAGTAGTAGTAGTGACAGGGTCTCACTCTGTCAGCCAATCTGGAGTTCAGTGATGTAGTCATAGCTCACTGCAGTCTCCAACTCCTGGGCTCAAGTGATTCTCCCACCGTAGCCTCTTGAGTCACTGGGACTTCAGGTTTATGCCACCATGTCCAGCTAACTAAAGCCTCATTTGGTAGCATTGTCCAAGGTGTTGGATTTAGAGATCCAATGGTGTTTTTATTTTCTTTCTAACTTCTGTAACCCACACGTAGAACATCTCTGTTGGCTTCTTAAATCTAGATGTCAAATCTATCATGCATAATCTATAGTACTCCAGTGGGGGTTAGCCATGTTGAGATTAATTCTACAGCTTGTACTGAGTATAGTGTATTAGTCTACTTTTGGCTCATGATTCATTGATGATTCCTCTAAGCAGTTCCCAGAAGATCTGGGAAAGAACTAAATCTGGTTAGGGAAAAGCAATTATTAGCTATGTTTTTCAGGACTCTTTAGTAATCACGTGGTTAATTTCTGTACTTTCTGTTGAATTTTTAGTTTTTTGTTCCTTGGTAGAGCTACAGGAATTTAAGGTTCACTTTAAATGAACATAGCCACTACTGACTAAAATAGCTGTTTTTGTAGTTTGGAAAGTATCCACAATTCTTCCTGATGTGAACCTTATCAAAGGCCAAAACAGACAGGCTTGCTGCAGGAGATAAACTTTTTAATTATTTAATTGTGAAACCACCCTTAAAGAAAGAAACATAATTATTTATGTAGGTTACAGTGTTGAGCACTTAAGTCCTCTGAAAGTTCTCTTCTAAATACAAATGATTTTGTTTCCGTCTTCCATTGTGTCATGTCACTTTGCTTTACATGTGACACCTATCGTGTCACTTGTAGCTATCCTAGATATCCTAGATATTCATTAGTCATATTCATAGTAGTAGATGTGCATGCTCAATCCAGAAAACTAAAAAATACAGTAGCATAAATAATCCTCAAATGTAAAGTAGCATAAATAAATGTCAACCAGGTAGGATATTCGTATGACATGAAATGATGATAATAGGACATGAGAGTTAAAGGGATTCTAATCCAAAGGACAAGTTTAAGAGGCTTCTTTATTACCTCCATGTGATCAATTAGTTTTCAGTATGTTTATGTTTATTTAGTCTGCTTCTGTCACGGAAACATAGTAGGAAGAAGTTAAACTAGAGATGGAGTCCAATAGACATCCTACATGTTGACACTGGGCATGCATGGGTTGAGGTAGGAAATGTGGTATGAGAGTAGGGTGCTGCTGGGGGCATTTGGTAAGGATGGAGAGTGGAGAGGTCATATGGGGGATGAATTGAAACCAGGCAGTACTTAGCAAGAGGTAGTGGGAGCTGAATTAGCATGGTAGCAATAAGGAAAGGAAGTTACCACCCAGAGAGAACTTGATATGCCTGACTGGGTGTGAAAGGTGAGAGATGTTTTACTGTCTGGATGGTGCCTTTCACAGAGATCATGATAAAGAGGGTAGGAGGTAGGTAGGTTTTGAATGTGATTGAGTTTGCATTGCCTGTGAGACTGTAGAGATGTCATCATCCATGGTTAGAATGGTGCTCTAAAGAGAGTTCATAGCTGGAGATTTTGAAAAGTTCTAAAAACTTTTTGTTGTAGATAATTTCAAGCATTACCAAAGAAACAGTTGACATAACAAACGTCCGTGGACCCATCACCTAGATCAATAGCCATCAACTCTTGTTTTGTGCATACTCTGATTACCCCCAACCACTAGATTACATTGATGTTAATTCCAGCCATTATGTAATGTCATCTTTAATTTTTTATTTTTATTTTTTGAGACGGAGTTTCGCTCTTGTTGCCCAGGCTGGAGTGCAATGGCGAGGTCTTGGCTCACTGCAACCTCAGTCTCCCAAGTAGCTGGGATTATAGGCGCCCACCACTACACCTGGCCAATTTTTGTGTTTTTAGTAGAGACAAGGTTTCACCATGTTGACCAGACTGATTGCGAACTCCTGAAATCAGGTGATTCACCCACCTCGGCCTCCCAAAGTGCTGGGATTACAAGGGTGAGCCACCGCGCCCGGCCTCATCTGTAAATATTTTGGCATGTACTTAAATAAAATATTTTTTCTGTAAACATAACTACCATATGAATTTCTATGTAAAAATAAAAGGACCAGCCTGGGCAACATGGTGAAATCCTGTCTGAGCGAATGAATAGATGAATGAATGAACGAACGAACGAACGAAAGAACGAACAAGAAAGAAAAGCAAGCAAGCTGGGTGTGGTGGTGTGCACCTGTAGTCCCAGCTAGTTGGGAGGCTGAGGTTGGAGGATCACCTGCACTCAAGGAGATGGAGGCTGCAGTGAGCCATAATTACGCCACTGCACCCCAGCCTGGGTGACAGAGTGAGACCCTATCTCAAAAAAATAAATAAATAAATAAATTTCAAATGCTTAATGATCTCTTATTGTTATCAAATATCTAAGCAGTGATCAAATGGATCTAATTATTACAGGTTTTTTTTTAAAACAGTGGTTTGTTTCCATAAGGATCCAACAAGGCCTACACAGTACATTTGGTTGATTTGTCTCAAAACTATCTTTTAATTAATCTCAAGTTACCCCTTTGCTTCTCTTGCTTTCCTTTTCTTCCCATTTAACATTTTCGTTGCATAAACTGGGTTGCATATTCAAAAGAGTTAGTTTTATTCTGAATTTTGCTGATAATTTCCATAAAGTCATTTAACATGCTGATTCTATGTTTTGTGAAACTGTGAATTAAAATGAAAAGTAGTGGCTTGTTTAGGTTCTGGTTCCATTGCGAGAGAAGGGTAAGAATACTTTGATCCATATGGCCATGTGTATGCTCATCAGGAAGCATATGGTGTCTGGCTGTCTTTCTTTTTTCTGATGTTAGTGGCCATTAATGATCACTGCCAAGATTGCTTATTTCATGAGGGCTTTGAAAAATAGTGACATTTTAATTCTATTATTCCTCTTTATTTCTTAACTGGAATAGAAAGAGAAAGCTTCCTTCATCAATTCTTTGATTACCCTGACCTACGGTTCATCCAGGAAAGGTCGGTTCAATTTTGATTCCTTCCCTTTAGTTGACAATTTTTAGAGCAGTGAGTTAATTTCGTAGGATTCTTCAGAGGTGACTAATGAGAGGAGTATGTGTGTGTGTGTTTGTGTGTGTATGTGTGTGTGTGTGTCTGTGTCCCTCTGTTTTGAGTCTGTAGTAGTCATTGCTCTCTCCCTTGCTGTTTTTTCTGTCATTTTCTGTTCTAGACCTTGAAGCATCCATTTCTCCTAGGTGCCTTGATTCCTTTTCATGGGAAATAATATTTGGAGACCACAGTATGGTACGATGGGTGCTCATCATCATTGAGTTGGTCACCTATCTAGGCCTTTCAGGGAATTATCTAACAGAGACTATTTATTTATTTATTTATTTATTTA